AACTCGCGTGGGTAACTCCGTGACCCGGGACACATGTCCGGACCTTACCCTCACAAAAAACATCCAGTATGCGGATTGGGTCAACACTGAGGAGACCCTCGGCAGCGACCACTGCATACTCAACACCACCATTCACACCTATCCTTTGGCAAGACCCTACGGAGAGGCAAAATTACCCGATTACACGAAGTTTCGGCAAATATACGCCAATTCGACACCCACTGAGGAGCAAGGATACCATGCTTGGTCCCAGCAACTGGTTTCCTCATTACGCTCCACAGAAACACAAATTAAACTCTCCGAGGCGATTCCGGTGGTTGATAACCATCTCCTTCACCTCTGGGAGGCCCGGCGCAGCCTCGTCCGTCGATGGCGCCGGCAAAAACACAACCGAGAGCTCAAAATTCGCATCGCTGAGCTCACCCAGTGAGCAGCAGAGTACGCGGCCCAGCTCGCTGACTCTAATTGGGTGGACCGTTGCAACACGGCCGCTCGACAAATGTCCAGCTGGAGTACCCGGTGCCTCTTCCGCGCCTTGATTGATGCGACCCAAACTCGAACAGAAAAACAAAAGCATCTGCAACGAGCATTTCACAGCTTCAACGGAGACACAGCAAATTGGCATGTAAACTCCGAGACCAATATCTATGCACACAGCAGGGCTCCCGAGGGCCGGCGTACTCGTATGCAGGTACCGAGAACGCGGAGCTGGATCAACTGTTCCAGTTACACGACCTGAAGGCAGCCCTAGCAAAAATGAGGCGAGGAACGGCGCCGGAAAGGGATAAAATTACCGTGAAATTACTTGCCAATCTTCCTGACTCGGCCTACACCATGCTGCTTGCCTACATCAATTCCATTTGGATCGGGAAAACAAGCCTACCAATTGAGTGGAAGACCGCCCTGGTCACCTTCATATCCAAAGCGGGCAAAGCCATTAACACGGACAACCTCCGCCCCATCTCCCTTACTTCTTGTGTGCGAAAACTGATGGAGACGATGGTGCGCGACAGGTTGTCCGCGTTCCTGGAGACCAAAAATGCATTTGCAGACACCATGTTCGGGTTCCGCCCACACCGGTCCGCGCAAGATGTCTTGCTTCAGCTCGACCATGAGATCCTCGATCCAGTCGAGTATCCCCTGAATGACAAAGTTGTGCTCCCTTTGTATCTGAAGGGGGCCTTTGATAACGTGACCCACAAAATTATTCTAACACATCTCTCACAGGTGGATTGCGGCCAAAACACTTTCAACTATATTAAACAATTCCTCACTGACCGACAATCATACATTCGGATTCAGGACATTGAACACGGCCCTTACCGATTAGGCACGAGAAGAACTCTGCAGGGAGCGGTTCTCTCGCCCCTCCTAATCAATGTGGCAATGATGAGACTCCCCGCTCAGCTGGCGAAAGTCGAAGGCATACAGGATGCGCTATATGCCGACGACATCACCATATGGGCGTCACACGTACGGCTCGGCAGGAGACATGGAGGCAAGCCTGCAGCAAGCGGCGGACATCGTGGATGACTATGCCCGTCACTGCAGCCTTCAGTGCTCCCCGTCCAAATCGGAATTCGTGCACATACGCCCATCACCAAAGTGCACCACAAAAATCGACCTCTCCCTTCACAGCGGACCCATACCCGAACGCGATGAGATTAGAATACTAGGGCTTTTTATACACAAAAATTGCACAGCAGACACAACATTGGCCAAATTGCGTAAGGTGGGGGACCAGGTGGGCCGGATGGTCCGCCGGGTTTCCAACAAGCGCGGGGGGTTACGATGCAAAGATGCCCTGCGGTTGGCGCATGCATTCGTAACCAGCCGAGTCCTGTACTCGGCTACATACCTCCACCTACGCAAATCCGACGAGAATGCACTCAAAGTCATTCTCCGCAAAATCTACAAGCGCGCCCTCGACCTTCCTGTCAGCACCTCTACACAGCGCCTTTTGGGCTTGGGAATGGTGAACACCTTCAAGTAGCTGAGAGAGGCGCACTTGACAAACGAATATAATAGACTCTCTAAAATACCGTCGGGTCGCCACCTCCTTGCCCGGCTACACATCAATCATTCAATACACACGGAAGAGCGCGTACGGATTCCAGTAGTTTGGCGATACTCCTTGCACGTGCGCCCTCTTCCGGCTAACATGACCTGAGACGACTACAGTGGCCGACGCCTCGTGCGGGTGGAAGCCTTGGCTCGACACTACGGCCACAAATTCGGAGTATTCTACGTGGACGCCTCCGGCCCGCACCACGGTGGTTGGTACACGGCTGCGGTCGTCCACCAAAACACCGTTGTAAACGGACTCACATTCCGTGCACATAACATTACGCACGCGGAGGAGATCGCCATCGCACTAGCCGCCGCAGATCAGGACTCGAGGGTCATCATCACCGACTCAAGGGGTGCCTGTCGCAATATTGAACAGGGATACATTCCGTACCATGCTTATAAAATTTTGCAGAACAGCAGCTACCTAGGTGCCCCCGCGCACCGAACGATCATATGGGCTCCGGCTCACACGGGCCTCGATGGTAACGAGACGGCCGATGCCGCCGCCCGCGCGCTCACTCTCCGGGCACCATGCTCGTCCCCTACCGATCCGGAACTCGAACCCAATCCCGCCTATACCTTTAAGGAGGTCACACAATTTTATCAATCCGGCCATAGCGTCTATCCGAAACCCTGTAAGGGCCTCACGAAGGCGGAGGAGCGAATCCTCCTTCGCCTTTATACTAAAACTCTATTGTGCCCGGCAATCATAAAACTCTTTGACCCCGCTTGCACGGGGAAGTGCCCGCATTGTGAGGAAAATTCCTCTGACATTTTTTTACATGATGTGGGCATGCTGAAAAACCCCAAACCTTACCCTACTGGTCGAGCGTGCCCGGGCCGCGGCCAACGCCAATGGGCTCCCGTAAGAGGAAGCTCACCTAGTGTTTGTACGGGGCGGCCCCTTAAGGACCGTTTCCACCCTCCCTGTAAATAATATCTGTAAATAAATGTTTTTCAGCAGCAGCAGCAGCGCTGCGTTGCTTTGACGCATGCTTGTTTCAGCGCGTCCAGCGTCCCTCCGTCACGAAAAGAGGGAGACGAAGTGTTGTCTGGGTAATGCATCGGCACGAAATGCAGCATGTTGCATTTCGCGCCGGTTGCCGTCAGGCCGCGCCTGGCGTCAGACTATAGAGTGCTCACGCTTTGCTAACGTAATGTCGTTGTGCCCAGCGTGCGCACGCGTCAACGCTACGTAGGAGTGTATTGGGCCCTTCATGATGCACTCGCGGCTGTTTCGCTAGCTCCACATATACCAAATTTGGTGTTACGTGACGTCAACGGAAGACGAAATATATGACTGGTGAAAACATGGTAATCCTGGCACGCGTGTCATGTAACAACATGACAACATACCACGCTTGTAGCATGCTCGCCGCCGTTTCGCTAGCTCCACATATACTGAATTTGGCATCACGTGACGTGAATACATGACGAGTGTAAACGACACATCCAAACATGATAGTCATGATATGGAAGTCATGTGCGGCATCATTTACCTCCACTTCGTAATGTTGTGCTGATTTTAAAGTGACATATCAACATTTTTCATTCATGCTTCGCATATCATCTTTCCCCCCTGTACGTGGGATCTGCCATTTTTTCCCGTCCACTTGCATTAGCTCACGTAACTCTATTGCAGAAGGGTTGACAGGCGGGCTAGTTGGTACAAATTCATAATGAAAAAATTGAAAGTGCAAACCAACGGGACACAAGAGAAGAGACACACAAGCGCAGACTGAAACTCAGTTTATTCAGAGCAGAAATTATATACCAGAAAGATGAGAAAGGGAAAAATCTGGGGAGGAGGTTCTACCATGATCAGGTGTCGTCCAGAAACGAGATTTCACAATCTAACAGTGATATAGATGGTGAACTAACACAACTATCATTATCCTTTTAATAAAATAAGGCTTCCGCAATCTCTCTAGTTGTCGTGTCATGATGGCTGTATAAGACAAATGTGCGCGAAAAAAGGTCTGGTGAAGAAAGGTTGTGGTGTCAAGCATATCAATTCTTTCACTAATTGTCGATCTAATGTCGTTAATTGTAATCCACTGTCTTGTGGCAGGTTATACAGTGGGCAGACTGGGCACTGCTTGAATGTTCGCCGGCGAGAACACTACATTGCGCTGAATTCAGCCCTGGGTTTACATTTGTCCGCCCATTGCAAAAAGTGTGGCTGCGTTCCTGAATTTTCGCCCACATTTGTCTTATACAGCCATCATGACACGAAAACTAGAGAGATTGCGGAAGCCTTTTTTTATTAAAATGATAATGATAGTTGTGTTAGTTTACCGTGTATATCACTGTTAGATTGTGAAATCTCGTTTCTGGACGACACCTGATCATAGTGGAACCTCCTCTCCAATTTTTCTCTTTCTCATCTTTCTGGTATATAATTTCTTCTCTGAATAAACTGAGTTTCAGTCTGCGCTTGTTTATCTCTTCTCTTGTGTCCCGTCGGTTTGCGCTTCCAATTTTTTCATTATGCACGTAACTCTATATTGCGTTTAATGGCCATAAAATATCATCGAAGAAATAATGCGATGAACTCGATTCTCCAGGAGACCTCGTAATACTGTAAGGCTTGCAAATCCTTAATTGCAAATCCTTAATGAATATCAAATCTCGCAGAAACTTGATTCTCCAGGAAACCTCGTAATACTGCAAGGCTTGCAAATCCTTAATTGCAAATCCTTAATGAATATCAAATGTCGCAGATTTTTTTATGCTTACAAATTGGCAACGTTAAAGCAAGCGGCAGAATATTGGTAGATATGCAGAATGTTCGATGCATACATGCTACCGCCTATATTGGAAGCTCAGGGCTGCCACGTGCTGCGAGTGAATTGTCCAACATAAAACGGCGACGATCATGCACACCGAGCCCCAGCAACGTTCGTCTCATTGTTTTTGTTTTGTTTCAGTACTTCCTCAGCGAAGAAGCTATAGGCGAAAATCGGGCAATCATGTGCGAGGCTCCACTGGCACAACTGAATCAGCATGTGCAGGTCAAGGCGCATACAGAGCCACTGACCGAGGATTTCGTGAGAAAATTCACCGTGAGTGATGACTTCCACTGTTTGCATCAGCATAAGACAGCATCAACTTATATAGCATGAACGAAGCGGTGTTCACGAAAGTATCAATGTAATTAAAGCCTACTTTTAGCCCTCCCTCACCCCCGCACCTGTCACCCATTGGTCGTTGCAGTGATAAGTTTCGGCCGACACATTTTCTCTTTTAATGAGCAGCGATACTCTGCTGTACTTGCATTGCCGACTTGATACGAAACCACATGGCGACGCCAAAAACGCACTTGGAGTGTGGATATAACTGTCATTTATATAAAATATGCAGAGCTTTGCCAACGCAAGCGATGAAAATTTCTGTTCTGCACGCAGATCAAGTTTGCAGGAAACGAAATATAATCATTAATAAACTTGTTAGTCTTGTGGGAAGAAATTAACCGGACAGCGAAATTTTTAGTGACTAATTTCTGGTCATGGCGATTTCCAGTCGTGAGCTTTGACAAGAGTGTATGACGTCACTTTCGCATCCAGGAGGTAAACGATCCCTCTACTGTTTGTCCCAAACTTCATTCCGCAATCGTAACGTATGCACATTCATGTGTATCTCGTTACCTAGCGTCGCTTAACATAGCTAATTCTAGATCTATTACGTTACGTAGCGCGAACCAATCACTCTTTTTATTGCATATAGCGACAGGTATTTCTGCGAATGCACCTCAGCTGTTCAGACGTCAGAGTTGCGACAGTCTTATTTGTAGGGTTGTGCGATTATTCGAAACCTCGAATGTTCTATTCGAATATTTTCGGCATGTAGATGGTGATCGCAGGACACATATACCACTCGAAATACCCAAACACCACAAAACTTCAAAACATTTATTAAAATCGGCTCAAGAATTACATGTATGTGCTAAACGTAGTACAGAATTTGCCTTCAGTCATGAATTAGGATGCGTGGTCAGAAATGTGTCGAATTCATGTGGCCCAAAGAAAGTGGCTGCTTCAAAATTGAGTAAGCCTGACGAGTCACGTGAATATTCCCTAAGCGCTCTTGAGTCGTCGGTTGAGCTGGCAGTGTCAGATTGTGATAACCCTTCCCTCGTGAAGGTTCTTTCCGATTTAGTTGCTTGCCAAAAAAATTCATCGCAAGACATATGCGAAATAAAAAAATACTGTGATGACACGTTTTGACGCCTTGGAACTGTGTGTTACTGCTCTCGAAAACACATGCTCCAAAGCTCTGACTGAGCAAGATTCCGAGCAGCTTCGTTCCGAACTCGCTTGCTTAAAACGCACAGTGGCTGACATAACGGCTAAATTTGATAATCTTGAAAACCGTTCGCGAAGGAACAACATCATTATTCATGGTATACCAGAAGATAAAGATGAGAATCGTGACACACTGCATTCCAAGGTAGTGAACGTGTTCAACAGGCTTGCCGTTGATTGTCCGCGTGTTGAACGTTCCCATAGGTTAGGCAGAACACGTCCTGGACGTTCTCGGCCTGTCATTCTGAAATTGCTAGATTTCAATGACAAACTATTACTGCTAAAGAATGCTTACAGGTTGAAAAATTCTGATATAAAACTGTCCGAAGACTTTTCCTTGAAAGTACGCGCCGTACGTAAAAAGCTATCGGACGCTTCAGCTGAGCATCGTAATAACGGATCAATTGTCAAGATGAGGTTTGATAATTTATTTATCGATAACGTTCGGTATAATTGGGATGGCCCCTGAAACAGACTAATAATAGCTCGTGGTTCTGACAGCAATGCCAGAACGACTAACGCATCTGCATCACTGCCTTGACCGTCCTATCAACCCGCCTCCGATCTTGCGTTTTTGAACGTTAATGCCAGAAGCATTACTAACAAATTCCCCCAATTTTTTTCGCTAGTTTCTACATGTCCTCCTCACGTTATATGCTTCACGGAAACATGTCTTTACTATGAAATTCACGATTCTGAATTCACACCTCCTGGTTACCTTGCTCTCCGTTGTGATCGCCAGAATAGAAAAGGGGGTGGTGTCGCCTTGCTTTTACGGTCAGATTTTAGTTTTAAGGCTCTATATGGTCCTCCTAACGTTGAATCAGTTTGGTGCAAGCTAATAATAAATAAGCAGAATTAAACCATATGTGATATTTATCGCCCTCCTGATGGCCCTAACGATCTGTTCGACGATCTCTCACATTTCATACATGAGCATCACCTGAATAGTTTGAGTTTGATACTTCTAGAGGACTTCAACATCACCGGCATTCACTGGCCTTCACTTACGTATTTCGCTTCTAGTGCCCCTGTCTGTAGGGATCTAGTTACATTTTCCTTGTCACATAACATAATACAACTAGTTTGTGAAAATACTCGGCAGAACTCCATTCTTGATTTAGTGTTTGTTAGTAACAGTCTTGCTCATTTAGGTGTCACATACGAGATCTTAGAAGGTATCTCTGATCATAATGCAGTCCTCGTGCACATTAACTGTCCCATTCCACATGAACGTTTCAGCTATACCACATATCATGATTTTTCTAAGGCGGGTGATACGGCTATTGTTGACGCCCTGGCAGATAATCTTGATCATTTTGTGTCGCTCAGTACCGAGTGTCATGTTGACGTGCTTGTCGATTACTTTGAGTCGCTAGTGAGGTCATGCATAACTTGCCACGTTCCACTAAAAACAAAAAAAGATAAACAATAAACTTCTTTGGATTAACCGCGATATGTTGCAACTATCACGACGTGTTAGCAGGTTGCGTAAAATTAAACAACCTAATCCCGAGGCTCGCGTCTCCTTTGAAAAAGCTAAAGATGAACTTCGCACTATTACTAAAAATGGTAAAGATTTCTATTTTTCAGTGCAACTTCCTCAAATACTAAAATCAAATCCTCGAAAGTTCTGGACGTCAGTATCGCCTAGTACGACTGGCAGTACCTGTTTTAAGATTAACGATGCTATGACCAACGACCCTGATGTCTTTTCGAATGCTTTCAACTCATACTTCAAATCTGTTTTCACCCTCGATAACCATGCAGTTCCGGAGTTTAGGTATGTTGCTCAGAATAATAAACTAGAAAATATCGCAATTAGTTGTGATGGTGTCTTAAACCTTATCCTGAAACTAGATACTAAAAAATGTACCGGTTCCGATGGCATTCCTAATTCTTTTCTCTCACGATAGTCTTTATGGACAGCAAAATACCTTACCTTAATTTTTCAGAAATCCCTGGACTCTGGTGTAGTACCACGATCATGGAAATCTGAAAAAGTACTTCCCTTGCATAAATCAGGCGATAAACAACTTATTTCTAATTACAGACCAATATCTCTTACACCTGATTCTTGCAAGATGTTAGAACACATCATTCACAAACATATAATTGAATTCCTTGACTCTAATAATATCCTATCATCAGCTCAACATGGTTTCCGTCGCGAATATAGTACTGTAACACAATTAGTTGATTTCATGCATGACGTTGCTTATAACTTAGACCTAGGTAACGAAATAGATGTCATTTTCATTGATTTCTTCAAAGCTTTTGATTCCGTCATTCATTCTAAGCTATTGTTAAATCTAAACCTCATTCTTAATAACCCTCGCATTGTTTCTTGGATAGCTAGTTTTCTTCATTATCGCTCACAATTCGTTTCTTTCAGCTCGACAGATTTATCTCCCAGTGACGTCACATCCGGTGTTCTTCAGGAATCCGTTCTAGGCCCTTTATTATTTTACTTTTCATTAATGATTTACCTCATAGCATCTCATCTAAAGTAAGACTCTACACAGATGATTGCGTTCTCTATGAGACTATCAACTCCATTGACGATCATTACCATCTCGCGCAATCACTCACGTCTTTTAGCAACTGGTGTGACACGTGGCAAATGAACTTTAACTGCACTAAAACAGTCGTAATGTCTTTTACCAATAGGGGCAACCCCTTCTCTTTTGACTATGTTCTAGGTGGCACCCAGCTCAATAGAGTTTCACAGTACAAATATTTAGGAGTAATTCTAACGGAACACCTTTCATGGACTAGCCACATTGATCATGTATGTCGTAAAGCGCTAAAAAATTAGGTTATTTGTGCCGCACTTTACCTAACGCCCTTCGAGATACTAAACTGCTCTTATATAAATCACTCATTCGCCCTGTTCTCGAATATGCATCCGTAGTTTGGTTCCATTACAAACACTGTGAAATAAGCTTGCTAGATAACATTCAGCGAAAATTTATCCGTTTCATTTTTCATAACTATAGCCGCAACTTCTCGCCGACCACAGCCCTTCAATCATTAAACATCCCATCACAACTCTCGCGATACCAAAACGAAGCTTTAAAATTTTTATACGGAATTATTAACTCCTCCTCCGGCCTTGGTCATGGTAACCTCATCACATTTACTGATGGTAGTTGTACCCGCAGTTTCCACGCTTTGAATGTAACATTTTTCTATGCTCGTACTAATACCTTTAAATACAGTTTTTTTCCGCGTGCAATAGAACTGTGGAATTCCCTGCCTGGTAGCATTCGCTCCTTACCACTAACCGACTTCATAGTTGCTGTCGATGAATATCTTACTGACGCGTAATTAAGTTCATTTTTACTTTTGCTTTGTTGCGAGTGTACTTGCATCACAATTTGTATTATTTCTTTGCATTTTTCTCTGTTGCCTAGTATTATATAACGTCCCATTCCTGCGATAGCCCTGAATAGGGCTGCAGTATGTATAAATAAATGAATAAAATAAATAAAAAAATAATTCCAAGACACTCAGTGTTACATACGAAGTAAGAGAACGAAAGCAAACGTTGTTTGTGTGAGTTTTAGTCCTTCAAGGTAATGAGTGTCTAACTAATTATCTAATTATTTTGCCACCAGTCAGCCTCAGTACTTGCATAAAAAGAGCACATTACATTGAGCCAGAAATGCAAGCACCGTTTTTTTTGTTCTATTTGTTTGGAGTGGAGAAAAAAAAACTTTTCACTTTGGTTGTAGAATGTGTCACGTCGAACTGTCATCAAACATTGTAGTGTACACAGCAAGGTGATCTTATTCAGCAATATGCAGCCGTTAAACGATCACAAGTTGTCGACTCAGGAGGCCCGCACAAATGTGTACACCATGTTTAGAGTCTTTTGATGGAACACGCGGTGCGTGACACGCGACCGAAGCTGGCGTGCACATTTGCGCACACCATGACTGAAAGGGATTAAATTACTTTTGTTTATCACATGCTACTTCTCCTCCACTGCGCTTCGGCAATGTCTCGCCAACATTCAAGAGTGATGACCAGAGTGTGACACTATGCATGATGCTGAGCATGTTGTTGCATTGTAGTACCGATATTTTATTGAATGATATCACCAAAACAAATGGGTATTCATTGAAGGATTCGGAAAAAATGGCTAAATTACTATTTGACTAAATTGATACCAAAACAGCCCTATTTCTATTCATTAGACTTTTAGAAAGTTATTTTTTGCTTTGAATTCGATGTACAAAAACATATTGTATTGTGATATGAAGGACTTATGCAGACAGACTACGTCAGCTTTGCCACACTGACATTGTTAGCAATGTCGGTCACTGCATACACCTATTTAGGCCACCTCCTCCTTTTCCTCTAACTATACCTATAGTACTGCTGCAGCGTATGCGTGTTCCTCTTGTATTAACTAATAAGACATGTTCGCGCAGGTCGCGGGATCGAACGCGCAACCTTCAGCAACAACTGAGATCCGCAACCACTTCTCCCGCGGGGGACCCAGTTTCCTCGTGTGAAGTAATTAAACCTGTGTGAAACTCTCATTTACTTCTTCACCAGGTGGTTGTCTTGACCGAGGTCCCGCTGGAGAATCAAAAAGCCATCGGCGATTTCACCCACGAGAACAATATTCCTCTCATCGTGGCTGATACGAGGGGCGTGGCTGGGTGCGTATGGAAGGTCGAGTGCTGTTAAAGATACTCTAAACAAGCTCTGAAGATAACAATGCCTAGCTTAATATTATGTATAAAGCCAAATATGGCTTGTGACTTGTGAAAAAAAATGCGGTGTTAAACGGCGTGAGAGAATAGTGCAAAAAGTCACGTGATCATATCCCGGACGACATTAGGTGACGTGCAGACAGCTTCAAGGTAAAGGGGGGGGGGGGCTGATTAAAACAGGTTATGATGTAAATTAAGTTGGAAAGGTTTTTCAAGTTTACTGAGCTGACTGATGTGTGAGCAATGTTAAGGGCGTAATGGAGTACTCGCATGCTGCTGAATGAAATGTTCAAGCAGAATATTACGAATGAAACATAAAAGCGAATTAAAACTAGTGAATTGTGAGTACTCACCTGCACGAGAAGTTATATTCTACGCTTGGAAGACCCGTGGCGATGTCTAGGCGACCAATGGAGCACAAGTAATAGGACGCAACGCAGTTCCCCGAAAACGTCAGAAAGACATCAAATGACTCTGGTGAAAGTGATACGATTGCCCTGTAAGAGCGTATAAACTTTCGACTGCGATCTCTATATAAATTTAGCTGAATAGACTAAAGTTTTCTTGCCTCACGCTCCCCTTTATCCTGTGGCCATTTTTGACGGCTACAAATTGATTATTATGACGCCACTAAGACCGGAGCATTTAATTGGTTCACATACAAAGATTGCTAGTTGTGACCTGACTACCACCTCGTGTCGTCACGCAGTCGCAGGCTTTCTTCGTTGTCGTGTCGCTTGGCTGTCGTGTGCAATCGACAGACTTCACCTCGTGTTTTGCACCGCGCTAGTGTAGATGACTATGTGTAGCCCAAATTCACGAAGTCTTGATTGGTCCATGACTCCGTACTGACGTCATCCTCGTACCTTAAGAGGTAGGTGACTTATGGGATCGTTTATTGTTAGCGTGTCTGAATCTGGGCCTACGTTTTTAAAATGCAATTAGGGTATAGCATCATGTTACAATGAGCATATGAGCCCAGATGTGTCCTCAGAAACCTGGAGGTTTAGAAGAAGGGTTCAACTTAAATTGAGGACGATGCAGCGAGCTATGAAAAGTGAAGGATAATTATAAAATGAACCTTAAGAGACAGAAAGGAAGATGTTGGTCAGGTAGCGAACGATCGTTAGGGGTATCACAATCAAAGTATAGAAATAGATACGAGCAGGGCACGTGATTGGGTGGCCAGATAACCACTGATCATTGAGGGTAACTGACTGGATACCAAGAGAAGCCCGACGCGTGATGGAAAGCAAGAAAGTTAGGTAGGCAGATCAGATTAAGATGTTTGCAGGTATAACGTGGCAGCAGTAAGCACAGGACCAGATTGATTGACCTGACACGAAAATACCGTAGCCTCACAGTGGACGTAGGCAGGCTGATGATGTTGATGGTGCTGCTACTAATTATAATAATGATGTGCCGTCAACTCGGCCCCCTTTGCATGTCATTTGCGTAACAGATAATGACGCGAAATAATGTGTTTCCAACGCTACTCTTTCTTTCCTCAGGCAAATATTCTGTGACTTCGGCGAAAAATTCCGCGTCCTTGACCCCAACGGAGAGCCTCCGAGGTCCATTATGATCAAGTTGATTAGCCAGGTCTGTGGAAGCACCGTTCTCTCGAGCGGCTAAAGCGTGCATGAAATAATTAACGTGGAGCACGGAACCACGAAATAATTTACATGCAGTGTCATCTGAAGATTTCGAGTATGCTCGCAGAGCACGCATATATCATCTCTCGAAACTATTTTCAAAACTCAGATACCAACTCTGATTTATTTGCAAGGGTCAATGCTCAATTAAAGGGCGTCCGCTGCTTCACTTCTTAAATATTACATCTACATATATACAAATTAAGCATATTTATAATTCGAAAATCGCAGTTAGGCTATGAGGTGTGCCAGAGAGTGGAGGACTCCGATTTGATTTGTGACACTGTTAATTTTTTTTTCGCACGCGTAAATGTAAAGGCAAGGTTGTCTCGCACTTTGCTCCATTAGCATGCGGCCTCCGTGGCCGGGAACAGAAACTTCACCCTAACGCTTGGCAGCTCGCCGCCGAAGGTACTAAGCCACATCGACGTGTAAAGTTTCCAAAGTGGTCGGTCTTGGCGCCACGCGTTGTGTATCTCGCCTTTGAGTAGGAAAATTTCGAGCTTACATGTGACTTGTCGGCTGTAAAAACGGCATCATTTGTTAGGTTGGTCCATTCCCTGACTTTCCTGAAAAAAAAAATAAACGCGTGAAATAATTATTGCGTGTTTCAAAAGGGTGTGATTATGGCGCTGCTTTGTTGGTTACCCCGGAAAAAAAAAAGCATATGATTCACTAATCTCTATCTTATAAGTTATAGGGCTTGTTAATTAACTGATATTGAACTCAATAAGAAATTTAGTTTCTTTTTCTTATTGGTGGAAGCCCCTGCCGGCAGAGCACCAAAAGATGTACGGCCATAATTGTGTATAACACTGGCTGCATTTATTCCTATCCAATATGACGACTGCGTAGTCTAGTATGGGTAAAACTGCCGATTTCTACGCCAGCACCCTACGCAGTTTCCGTGAACTGCCGGATTCCGAAGGTCGGGTTTCAGCTCATCCATTCTCGATTACACGGTGCTTTAGGCATATAATCGTTCATTTCTATGTTTAAATTGCGTTTTTCTCAAGATGCAATTTTGGGCGACTTTATGATTTTGGACGTCATGTTCCTGGTATTTCGGCTGGCCAGATTAGGAACAAACTTTTCCCACACGCTGTTTAACATGTCACACGTGAAATGGTTTTTTTTTTCAACTCTGGTACCACTTTTATACTTATTATGAACATAAAGTAATAGCATGGGTTGAGTGTTTTACAACTTGTCTCATTACACTTTTTTTGTTCATTTAAATTCCTTAAATCAGTGCACTTTGATTGATGATTGATATGTGGGGTTTAACGTCCCAAAACCACTCTATGATTATGAGAGACGCCGTAGTGGAGGGCTCCGGAAATTTAGACCACCTGGGGTTCTTTAACGTGCACCCAAATCTGAGTACACGGGCCTACAACATTTCCGCCTCCATCGGAAATGCAGCCGCCGCAGCCGGGATTCGAACCCGCGCCCTGCGGGTCAGCAGCCGAGTACCTTAGCCACTAGACCACCGCGGCGGGGCAAATCAGTGCACTTTCGGGAGATATTTGCATTCGACAGTCACTGCGGAACAATGAAGCAATATAAGCCATTAATGAATCATAACCGTATGCTTTAGTGGCAGGAACATAGTGTCCAAAAAGAGCTGTATTTTGCACATTTCCATGGTACACAAAGAAAACTACGCACGTTAATAAAACTAACAGATTGAATATTTGAAATCAGCATGAAAACATATGTAAACAGCAAGCATTTCATTACCCGTGGCTATAGGTTAAGAATTTTTTTTTTCAATAATGACTTCTTCTTACTCCACCCGCCTATGTACGAGAAGGAAGGAGTGGTCGCGCCCGTCCACAAGGAGCGGCATGCTTTCGAAAACGGCGACTACGTCACCTTTTCAGAAGTCCGAGGCATGACCGAGATTAACGACTGTCCACCCATGGAGGTCAACGTTTTGTGTGAGTAAAGCTTACTTTCGTCTATATTGCGATGTAGTGATAGTGATGAATGGACCACTCAGATGCTTGATGGACAATAAGAGGCTGCCTGTGATTTCGGTAAAACGAAGTGGTCTTCATGCTGCACTGGATGTGTTATCGCAATGATGATGTCAGGGTACCTAATTATACTGCATCCTGCTGTGTATACTCACTACGTAAATGGAGGTAGTAGTTCATTTGCAATTGAGCGGTGTATTGGGCGTCTTATTTATTATTCCTGTTTTTTTTTTGTTCTTTCATCTGCAGGCCCACATCGATTCTCCGTGAAGCTTCCAGAGAAGTACGGTGATCGAGGCATAGGTGGTATTGCGACCGAGGTTAAAATTCCGAAAAAGATCGAGTTTGTAAGTGGATATTTTATTTTTCGTATGTCGTACAGCTGTCAGGCCATTTCTAAACTAGAATTTCTGTAGAGAGGTGTTTTATGTACCTCGAACCAGCTTCAGTAATGGAGTGGTGCATTTTATACATGTAAGATCTGCGGTATCCTGCACTGTTACACCTCCTAACGTAGTATCAGCGATTATAAAAAAAAATATTACCCAGGGCTCCGTGTTTTCAGATAAATCCTGGAAAAATATCCGTTAAACGGTCGCTGGTGAAATTTGTGACAATGCATAATTATTCAGATGTGATGCGAAACGGGTATTTTCATCGTTTAAAGGGCATTTTCATGCTGAAAATTATTCAAAAAGAGCACACCTCCCTTAGGGGCATGAACCTTGTAACGTGTGCTTACGTCTATTACAAGAAACTTTCATGATGTACTACGACGAAACGCAGATCTTTTATACGCTAGGTGTGTCGAAGATTTTGTCGTATTCAGAATAATTTCAGTAATATATGTCTTTTATTTTTCATCCAGAAGATGAGGGAGGCTGGGTGAAAAAAAATGCCGCCATATCCACGAAGTGAATGATGATGAGTTGGCGAAGCTCCGGAGGTAAACCTGGTTAACCATGAATCCTCCGTACATTTTGCCCACTCGATTTTATTGCAACGCTCCCCCTAGCGTACGTCGCCGCACTATATCGAACGATGACACGCGCCATAAGTGGCATCATTCCTATTTTATAACACCTCGCATCTTTCATAATCAACTACACGTACCGCCGTCTAGTTTATAACATCTTGCATCTTTTGGACGTACGGACGGACGGACGAACGGATGGATGGACGGATGGACGGATGGACGGATGAATATGGCTGTACCCTTTAGATCGGGCGGTGGCTAGCGTAATACTTAGAACTTAACGAGAGGTGGCTACATACAGGGGACGCACAGCCCACGCCTTAAGGAGCTTCGCTCGTAAAAGTTGAAAAGAGGCTTGACTATTTCTGGCTCCCCAGAAACGTTTACTTCAGCAAGTATACAGCAGTGCACATCAATAGCCTTATTAACGAGGTAAATGAACAGGAAGTAAAATAAAAGCATGAAAGGATGGAAACACGGGACTATCAAGAACAATGAACAGCACACTGCAATGCATTTTTATTGGAAATAAATTTTATAAGACAGCATTGCAACTATTATTAGGCGAAATTGAGCGCCGAATTTTGAAGAATTACAAATCTTCGAAGAGGGAACTCCGAATTTCTTTGAAAATATCAACCACCGAAAAACAGCCTTCGATTTTCCACACACACACACGCAAAAAAAAAGAAACTCCTAGAACATGGAGCCCTACCTATACTTGACCAGACAGGGGGTTGTGCTCTGGCGGCGAATACACACAAACACGTAATAACAGACGGGGCCGACAAGGCACAATCATAGGACGCAAATACCTGCAATCCACATAAGTGCGGCCCAATGTAATACAATACGCGCTTGGCCTTTGGTTCGCGACACTTGATCTTACATTTCAAGCTACCTGTTGTGCTATAACGCATGGCTCCCTCACCCCTTCCTCGTCTGAGTGGGAGACTGCTCAGCTCTACTCTAAACAAGCAGCGACGGCTTGGGAACGGAACGCTCCTACAGCGCGCCGCAATCGGTGAGGCCAGCACCAAACTCCCATGGCAGCATATGCGTTAGGAACCGCAGAGAAGGGACCCATCCAGCTAAAGCGTTGTCGTCTTAAATTAAAAAAAAAGACTTTTGCTATTATTATGCTCCAATTAATTTTTTAGTGCAATTATCTAGCTGTTAGTGTTTACGCTTCAGGTTTCTAACGTGAGAAATAATTCGAAAGTTCAACTCTTCTTAGCCGTTGCGTAAAATACGTAAAACCTTGCGGTATGTAACCTTAAACAGCAATGCTCTGTACTATTATTCACGCAGGCAAGTAGGTCACTCTTCTTGCTTACTTGCTTGTGAGAGCAATAGCCCACTGCTCAGAATAATTCAAGGTGACCCGCCAAAAATAAATTTTGAATCGGCCTTTTTTGTCTGTTATTATGAATTCAATAGAGATATCTCTGAAATTTATATCGCTGCTCCAACACCACTGGCTATTGACTATACGAAGGAATTCACGATACGAGTTGTGCAGGAAGAAAGAACGTATATCAGCGTACATGGGCACCTATTCTGTTGTTCGGGGTTGTGTGTCGCTGTACAACTAGCGCTACGAATGTCCCCAGTATAACCACGCATGTGCACTATGAACTAGTTGAAAACAAGAAAGGGGGCACTGAAGAGAACAGCGATTTTTACACCTATTAGTAACGTGCTATTTCACAATGCCGAAAACGCTGCTCCTATCGCGGCACGAGATAAAATGCGTGGAAAAGAATGTGGGTTGCGAGATTACTGCATCAAACACCGTTACGTCAAATATTTTGAAGGCGTCTACGGTATCCTACTCAGCCCCTAATTGATATAAATTAAGCGCCTTAGACCTAGCTTACAAACATTCAGAAAATTTTATCGAGGCCAATGTTGGCAAAATGCGAAAAATACATTGTGAAATTCGTGATTTCAGATGAGGAAGTTTCTGGGCAAAATTTTAAAAATAAAATTTTACCGTCTGCTCTCTTCACTGATAATGAACTGATCAGAGTGAAAGCCATGGCATTAAGTTTTTTAGAGTACAATCTTTCAATTTAAAGGAAGTCGTTGTTTTTTCTTCAGTGTGCATTTAAACAGGAGCTGTCAGAAATAAATGTTTTTGGCCCTTTTGACGTCAATGTTATCGAGACTAACTGGACAATGACACAGAACCATTGCAGAAGAAAAAGTTTGTGAATTCGGCCCCAGCTTTGTACTTGTTCACGAAATATCATCCTAACCACCGAGAATTCCTACCACGGTCTTTCAAATTTTTTTTTCAGAAACCACTGAATGAATCCTTGCAGGACCCTGAGTTCGTCACCTGTAGCTCGAGGAACGCAGACCGCCACGCACAGCTGCACCTAGGTTTCCAGGCTCTGCACGCCTTTCAGGAGGCGCACCATGGACTGCCGCGTCCGTGGGACGTCGTAAGAACGCATTTAACCTCGCCAAGAGGCTAGCGCGTCCGTATAGTTCAAGAGAACTGCAGTTAAATCGAAATAGGGGCTAGTTGTCAACATTTTAGAGTGACATTTCAGCGCGCACACAATACCGGGACACGCAGTGAGCGTTGCCTTGTCTGTACTTCATCGGGTCTGCGTAGGTGGCGCGAGCTGAAAATTCCCCGCGAACACAAAGACAGCACGCAGACAATAAACGTTTACGACTGCTTTCAAGACGTTGTGCATCGCATTATGTGTGGGGATGAAATATTGAACTATGGTATTTTACAGCTTGTTTTCCCAGGGGATTTTGAATATGTGAAAGCTTATTGACGTCTTTTCACGACGAGTTCTAGCGTCCGCCAAATGATACAATACTTTTAAGCCTTAGCGTCCTCTTTTGTGCAGTGGTAGGCAACTTCGTGCCTGGGCTTAAAGTAGTTACCTTTTGGGGTTCATACAACTTGCGAGGGGCGAGATAGCATTCACTGAGTCCCTGGAACAAGCCCTTCGGCAACAGAGAGAGAGGGAGAAGTAAACGTTTATTTTGAAACAGTTCCCCGAGCAACGGCAACATATAAAAAATAAGCAATTTCCGTTTTTAAAAGAACATGAAGCACAAAAGAAACGTGAAATATGTTGTAGTCATAAGTCCACATTTAAGTTCTCATACAGGGGAAATCGATTTATGGTCTACTTAAACTTCTATTCTTTAACATGCGTGATTTAAAAGGTCTAAAAATAACTGCTAGTCGCTTGAAACGTTAGCGAATTTCACTGCTCGTGTTCTCACTTCCTCCAGTTGTGCCGCAACGTCGTCTAACCATTCGGCCTTAAACCCTACTAACACCTTACCCTGTATGTTAGAAAAGAGTCCAGTATACGATGGCCGATGTTTGTGTGGACGCAGGACGACGCTACTGAGGTGGTGGAACTTGCGGAGAAGAAGAACGGCCTGCTCGCCAAGCCACTCAAAGAAGTTGACCGGGAAGTCATCTCCCTGCTCTCTTGCACCTCATCTGGCTCCCTGTGTCCCATGCAGTCCGTCATCGGCAGCATCGCAGCGCAGGAAGTCATCAAGGTGAACTACCGATTTTGTTGCTATACCAATAGCAAGAGCATCCGCTATCCAGTGTGCTATGAATAGTGGGTGACCAGCCTATTAATTGCAAATGGGCTTCTTGTGTACTAAGCAGTAACTTAAAACCACCATGGCTTTGACTACGCTGTCCCACCCGAACAGAACTTTTTTATAAAAAGGGAGGGGTGGGGTTGATGCGCACGGAAATGCTGTCGGACGCAGACGTGCGCATCTTCATACTTTCCTTCGGCATTTGTAAAGAAACCATGCAAGCACTACACGTGCGGAGTCGCATGTCCTTGTTAAGCCACCTAGAGCAGCGCTTATGCAACTGTTGCCAACAAAGCTGCAGACAAAAAGGAACGATAAAATACGTATTTGTACTTAGAAAGAAGGTGGCACGAGTATGCTACTGTCACTGTCTGCACGACAACGACAATGTTATGGGGCACCAGTGGATAATCCATTTCGGCATCTCTAATATTAAAGTATCTCGTATGATATAGCATCAAGAAGATTATGATGCAGTCATTGGGATCGAATTGTTCAAAGATGTTAATCCATTGAGATTGTTCACGCTTTCTGCATTGCTGGGAAGACAACTATAGCCTCGGTTGATGCCGCGTCGCAGCTGAGCAGTGGTAACGTCTACGCCAGCCAAGGGGCAGATTTATTGTGCATAAAAAATTGGGGTGTAAATAGGATAAAAAATAGTTGGGTAAAAATAGTATAAAAAACAAAGCCTGCATCATGCCTGGCTTCCTCCATGCGCACTAAAGAACCGAGTGGGTGCCGGGCGGTATCATGAAAATAAAATTCAAGACTTCTCGCCTTGAAGGTGGGTACTTCAACCGTTTCAACCCTGCTAATCCTGCTGCGTCTAAAAAAAAAAAAAAACGTGCTCTCACTTTAACGCCTGCTCCTAACGTCCTTCCCTTCATTCACTTCGCTCAAGCCCAGGATGTTGCGCCCTACTTCCTCATGTGTTGTTGAAAGAGTTCATTGCAAACCCCAAATTACTAAACCTCATTAATATAGAAAGTAACGACATTCTTCTCCTTTTGAGCAGTTTTCTCCTTCGTATAAATCACAAACAGGCCTGGCTATTCTTTGACCTTTCTAGCGACAAGAAATTTCAGGTTGCCGCCATGGCACTACTTTCTGGTTACGTTTGACGTCTATTTTAGTGCACTTACTAGGCATTTATTCAGATTATTATAAAACAGAAAACGTTTTTAGAGAACTGTATGTACTGTAGACAGTGTATACGCAGGCGAACTGGCAATACATTATTCATTTGCTACTCACGTTCTACCCTTGCAAGTCAACCTCAACTGTCCTCAAGTTTCTGCCATGAGACGTTGCCTCAAGTCCCCGCTCCTGCATAAAAAAAGAAAAAAATTGTGCACTGGAACATCGTGCTTTATTACCTTAAATCGCTTATTTCTTCTTATTCCAAGCTAACGGGCTGTGTAAACGTTCTGCATTTATTTCGTTTTTTTCCCTTATCATATAGTGTAACCAAAACGCTGCTTAGTTCAACTAAGTGTCAATAAATGAATGACGTCACCAACAGCAAGGCTTTTCATGCTGCTTTCATCTGTGCGAATGGAGACATAAACACACTACTGAAAAACGCGCGTAAAGCGCCACCTGTTCAAAACGCGCACCTCCATAGCTGCCTGGCAGCAGGTTTTTTGGCACTGCCTAAAGGCCTGCAGCCGCGCGAATCCGTTGCACACACACACTGCACCGCGCGTACTCAGAGAGGGTGCACAGCATCGAGTAGTGACGCACCATCTCTCTCTATGGAGGTCATGGCGCCGCGTCAGAAAACCGCACGCTGCAGCGGATGCATGTGGTCAGGCCTTTAACAATCGTGCATAACAACACCAGACAACCTCTTAGCAAAGCAAACCACACTTCGCCCCTACGGGGGGACTCGGCTTGTTTATGAGGTTGTGTGACACTAGTTTGGCTTGCTCAGAATTCGGAAGGCTGACTCAATGTCTTCAGATTTTTCTTTAAGTTAGCGTCGCCTCCAAAAAACGAACCTTGGTGCTGGTGCCGAGCTGGTGGTGTCATGCTGCCGCAGAAGCGTTTCCGGGCTAGTGTGCTCAGGTCTTAACAATGGTTTCGTTTCACACAGGCGTGCAGCGGCAAGTTCACTCCGATATACCAGTGGTTCTACTTAGATGCTTTCGAGTGCCTGCCACAGGAGTACGCGATTCCAGCCGTGAGCTGCAATGAACTGGTGAGCCTTACACGCAGGCACATAAGCTGAGCAACTATTGAAATCAATAAATAAAGGTCAAAGCTTTGCCGCAAAGGGGAAGCAATGAACGTGATAGCAACAAATCGGAAGGTCACGCGCAGAATGGCAAGCAGATGGAAACGTGTCCTGGGTTTCTTACGCACAAACGACATATGAAACGCACTCACAGGTACAGACGCATGCGAATAAGCGTCTCAGTTGTTACTTCGCTGTGTCTGAAAAGCACGCCCTTTTCGCAAACGAAGGCTGTGCGACGATTGCAGTGACCTTTGTGTGCCCCGTAACTACAGCAGAATCCTTCCACTGCAAGCCTAACGCCAGAAGACGTAAGTTCTTCCCCATCGGGAGATAAGGGCACGTGAGAGATCGTCCAATCACCTCCTCTCTGCGGGCCAAAGTACGCGTGAGAGCCGTCGCGAACGCCGTGCACCATCTTGCTGAGAATACTGAAAATACGATAACTTCTGCCCGAGATGCCCGCCAGCAGCGTTAAGTGGTAGATATAGCTAGTTTGCCGTTTAAAAGTTGAAGGAGGTACCGTTCAGTAGCTCAGTGGTTAACACCTCTCGTTCACGACGCGAAGGTGTCCTTTATATATATATATATATATATATATATATATATATATATATATATATATATATATATATATATATATATATATATATATATATAAATAGAGGTGTTGTACGTCGAGAAAGGTTCAGACGCAGCTTGGCAAAATGAGCTTTATCAGGCAGGTCTGGCTAATGGCGAGCGGCGTGCGCGAGCTACTACTGCAGCCACCGATCATCCTCGTCTTCTTCATTACCAGCAGAGCGTCCGTTATTCAGATTCATCAATATTATTCCCCGCGAAATAAGGAGCTATCCTGGCGATCTGGCGACCTATGGATAAGTGAACACGCGAGGGTCGTAGCAGGGCTTAAGTCTCGAGACGTGGACAATTTACTGGCCACGACGACATTGGTCAGAAGATGGTTCCAGTGGCTCGATGAGGTAATTCACCAGTGACCTTTTTTGTAGCACACGATATGGGCCATGATACTTAGGGAGCAGCTTGGTAGAAAGGCCAGGTGTAGCAGAAGGGACATGCAGCCAAACGAGTGAACCTGGATCGTAGGAAGTAGTGTTATATGATGCGTCATGGTGGTGCTTTTGGCGTCCTTGGTCTTGGGTTGTGAATGATCTTGCCAGTTGGCGGCATTCTTCAGCGTTTGTAGCGGCTTGAGACAAAGTCGTGGACTCTGAGGAGTCAGGTTTGTACGAAGGAATGGTGTCTATAGTGCAAGAAGGTTCGCGTCCGTAAAGGAGGAAAAAAGGAGAGAACCCAGTAGTGCTTTGAATGGTGGTATTTTAAGCGAACGTGATAAACGGGAGCACTCGGTCCCAATTGGAGTGGTCTGACGAGATATACATAGACGGCATGTCACCAAGGGTGTGGTTGAAGCGCTATGTCATTCCATTGGTCTGGCGATGATAGGCGCTTGTAGTACGGTGAACAACGTGGCACTCACGCAGCAATGTTGTGATGACGTCTGACAAGAATACGCGACCACGATCACTCAGTAACTCCCGAAGTGCTCCATGACGTAATACGATGTTGTGAAGAACGAAAGTCGCAACGTCTTTTGCTGTAGACGAGGGAAGGGATGAAGTTTCAGCATACCGCGTGAGATGGTCGACGGAAACTATGATCCAGCGGTTACCGTCAGCGGTGTTGGGAAGAGGACCATAGATATCGATTCCGACGTGGTCGAATGGTCGGGATGGGCATGGTAAGGGCAGCAAGGTAGCGCTGGCGTGACAAGGGGGAGTTTTTTGTCTCTGGCACGTCGAGCAGGCCCGAACGTATTGTCGTAAAAAACGGTACATGCCACGCCAGTAATATCGGAGACGTATGCGAGAATAAGTCTTCAGGAAACCTGCGTGGCCACATTGGGGGTCGTCATGAAACGTGGAACAAATTTCGGATCGCAGATGACGTGGAATCAGGAGTAGCCACTGACGTCCACCGGGTGCTTAGTTGCGTCGGTACAGCACGTCGTCGCGAGTAGCGAAGTGCTCGACTTGCCGACGCAACGTGCGAGAAGGGAGGGAAGCCGTCCGCCCAGCTAGGATGTCTAGAATCGAAGCAACCCAAAGGTCCTTGCGTTGCTCAGATGGCATGTCGGCGATGGTGACGGCAGTGGCATCACAGGTTAGACTTTCGCAGCAGTCTGGGTCAGGGGGTAGAGGCGAACTGGATAGGGCGTCTGCGTCCGAAGGTTTCCGGCCGGAGTGATAAAACACGCGAATATTATATTCTTGGAGGCGTAATGCCCATTGGGCGAGGCGACCGCTTGGATCTTTCAGTGACGACAACCAGCAGAGGGCGTGGTGGTCAGTCACGACGTCAAAAGGGCGCCCGTACACGTAAGGTCGAAATTTCTCTATCGCCCAAATAATGGCGAGGCATTCATTTTCAGTGACAGAATAGTTGGTTTCGGCTTTGCTAAGAGTTCAGCTTGCGTAGGCAACCACGTACTCTTGGAAGCCGTCTTTCTTCCGTGCAAGAATAGCGCCTAGCCCGACACCACTAGCGTCGGTGTGGATCTCTGTGGGTGCCGATGGGTCGTAGTGTCACAGAATAGGTGGCGACGTGAGGAGGCGGCGCAGTTCATTGAAAGAATCGTCACAGGTGGTAGACCAGGCTGAAAGGTCTCTAGAGCCGGCGAGGAGCTTGGTCAAAGGAGCGATGATCGTCGCGAAATTGCGGACGAAGCGCCGGAAGTAAGAGCAAAGGCCTATGAAGCTTCGGAGCTCTTTCATGGTGATCGGTTTGGGAAACGCTGAAACGGCTGTAAGTTTGGCAGGGTCAGGAAGAATGCCGTCTTTTGAAACCACGCGGCCAAGTATCCTAAGCTTTCGAGTGGCGAAATGGCACTTCTTGAGATTCAGTTGCAGCCCCGCGGCAGAAATACACGCGAGGACTTTCTTGAGGCGGATTAAATGGGTTGCGAAATCAGTTGAAAAGACGACAATGTCATTTAAATAACAAAGGCAAACGTTTCATTTGAGGCCTCGAAGAATAGAGTCCATCATCCGCTCGAAAGTAGCTGGCGCGTTGCAGAGGCCGAAGGGCATGACTGTGAATTCGTAAAGCCCATCGGGCGTGATGAAAGCAGTTTTTTCATGATTGGCCTCTGCCATTGGTACCTGCCAGTATCCAGAGCGAAGATCTAAAGAAGAGAAAAATACGGCTCCCTGTAGGCAGTCCAAGGCATCGTCAATGCGTGGCAGCGGATAGACATCCTTGCGCGTGATTCGGTTGAGACTCCGGTAGTCCACGCAAAACCTGATGGATCCGTCCTTCTTCTTCACCAACACAACTGGAGAGGCACAGGGACTGCTTGACGGTTCGATTATGCCACGTGTCAGCATGTCGTCAACCTGTTCATTGATGGCACGGCGTTCGGTAGTTGACACACGATATGGACGCTGCCGTATTGGCGTCTCTTGACCGGTATCTATACGGTGAACAACAGATGACGCTCGACCTAAGGAAGGCTGATTGTGGTGAAACGAGGCTCGAAAACGCTGTAGGAGCTTGATCAGCTGTTCCTGCTGCCCAGGCGTGAGGTTACAATCAATGAACTTGCGGAGTACATCCATAGGTTCATTAGCGTCAGTTGCGGGTGTAATGGCACAAGCCGGTAAAAATGGCTTGTCTGGATAGATCGGGTCTTCCAAAATACAATTTAAGGTCTCGAGGCTTCCCAGACACTCGCCGCGTAGCAGGATGTACGGACAAGCAGAAACGTTGCACGCATAAAGCACCGCCGAACCATTGGAAAAGTTGATGACGGAAAACGGGAGGACGATGGTTCGGTGTTGCACACTAGCTATAGTTAGCTGGAACAGGAGCGTCGAGTTAGTGGTAGCAGAGGAAAACACAGGCACTAGGACGGCGGACAACGGCGCAATGCGGACGTCAGCTGCGGCAAACACTTTCGAGGGACTGTGGTGGTCGATATCAAGGCACGGATTCGTCAACGTGAGTTCAGCACGAGCGCAGTCGACGAGGGCCTGATGGGTAGAAAGGAAATCCCATCCTAGTATGACGTCGTAAGATGAACGTGGGAGAACAACAAAGTTGACGGCGTCCAAACATCTTGAATAAGAACGCGTGCTGTACACTGAGCTGTCGGCGCGATGAAATGGGAGGTGGCTGTACGCAGAGCAAGATTCGTAGGCGGCGTTGTAACTTTTCAAATCGCGACACAGTTTTTCACTAATTACAGAAACGACGGCACCTGTGTCGACAAGTGCGCGTACAGCAACACCTTCTACTAGCACATCAATTTCGTTGGTCGGACAAAGAGGAGGTCTTAGAAAGTAGGACCTCCGGAACTTGCCTCCGGAACTGCGGCTGTCAGTTTTCCTCTCGAGCGGGGCTCGTGCGCCGAAGCATCGGGGAGACAGATAGGCGACAGGGTGGTAATGACCGGCGAGAATCGACAGGGCGTGGTGCGGACAATGAGTCGGTGATAGGAGAAGATGGTCGCTGGGGATTCTGGGCAGCCTGGTAATTTGCAGAATTCCCATGGTCTGGAGGCTGGAAGTTGCGACGGCGACAGTAGCGTGCTTTATGTCCCACGAAACCGCATGCGAAACAGATGGGTCGATTATCCAAGGTGCGCCTTGTGTTAACGAAAGAAGGTGCAGGGGGCGAAACGGGATGGGGTGCCGTGTATGTAGGCAGCGTCGTAGGGTAGGAGGACCCGGTGCCCCGGTATGCGCCAGAGACAGGTGGGGCTGGGGGTCTAGCAACGACGGCAGAGTAGGTCAGCGGCGTAGGGACAGATGGTGATGGAGTCAGTGCCTGCGTGACCTGTGTGTCAATGACCTGGCGTAGACGTGGGTCTAACGAGGTCACTGGCTCGGATGCTTCGGCCACAAGAGAACGCTGACGCGCAACTTCTTCACGAATAAATTGTTTGATGTGGGGCAGTAAGACGGTGTGATCAGCAGCGACGTCGTAAACGAGGGCGGAAACTTCAGCCGTATCTTCAGCGGCCCTGCGCGTCGAAACACGCTGCTTACGCAACTCGTCGTACTCCTGACAGAGCTGGACAACATCGGTGACGGTCTGTGGATTCCTAGCGAAGAGCATCTGGAAGGTATCGTCCGTCGTCAACTCCTTTGATGATGTGCTTGATTTTGTCGCGTTCAGTTAGAGATTCATCGACGCGTTTTCAAAGAGACAAGACATCTTCAATGTAACTTGTAAAGGTCTCGTCCCTGCGCTGGACTCGACTACGGAGACGCTGTTCCGCGCGAAGCCGGCGCACGGCGGGACGACCGAAGACCGCGGCGATGGTGGTCTTGAAGGCGGACCAGTTGGTGATTTCGCCTTCGTGGTTCTTGAACCAGAGGCTGGCCACATCAGCGAGGTAAAAGCGCACGTTTGTGAGCTGGTCGCAGGCGTTCCACTTGTTGGAAGCGCTTACGATTGCGTACTCGACGAGCCAGTCCTCGACGTCTAGTTCGTCGTTGCCGCGACAAATTGGTGGGTCGCGTTGCCGAGGCACACCACTACAGTAGACTGTCGTTGGTAAGGCAGCTTGAGAAGGGCCAGGAGCAGTCATGGTGAACGGTGAGGGTAGCGTCCGATTGCGAACTTCCAGGTTGATGGGAACCCCGGCTCCTCAACCACTTAAAATAGAGGTGTTGTACGTCGAAAAAGGTTCAGACGCAGCTTGGCATGAGCTTTATCAGGCAGGTCTGGCTAATGGCGAGCGGCGTGCGCGAGCTACTACTGCAGCCACCGATCATCCTCGTCTTCTTCATTACCAGCAGAGCGTCTGTTATTCAGATTCATTACAATATATATATATATATATATATATATATATATATATATATATATATATATATATATATATATATATATATATATATATATATATATATATATATATATATATATATAGAAGAATAACTTCGATTGCCGCAAGGTTACAAATATGAAAGTAGAAGCGCTTTCACATAACAACTGTTTATTGTGCCGACGTTTCGACGGGGTTCCCGTCGAAACGTCGGCACAATAAACAGTTGTTATGTGAAAGCGCATCTACTTTCATATATATATATATATATATATATATATATATATATATATATATATATATGTATGTGTGTGTGTGTGTGTGTGTGTGTGTGTGTGTGTGTGTGTGTGTGTGTGTGTGTGTGTGTGTGTGTGTGTGTGTGTGGGTGGGTGTACGCGCACACTAGCGGGAAGCATACCCCGGTGGCGTTTCGCCCGTCGGCGTGATCACGCGGTAAGCAGAAAATAAAGGAGGCTATGGCCGACGTGAGGGCTGGGCTCGAGTGGTGGAGAGGGTGAAGTGAGAAAGATGAGACGCGGCGTGAGGCGACACGATAGGGAAAGAGTGATGTCACGCGCATGCACTGCGAGGGAAGGCGTGGCCTACTTGGCGCCGCCCCAGTGCGGAGGGACAATGTTACACAGGCCAAAGAGCTGCTTCGCATCTAAAACACATAGGTGGGGCTGATTCTATATTTTTAATGCTCGTTGACACTAGTATTCTTAACAGCTTATAGTTTTCGAAAATTATTCTCGTCTTTTCGCAACCTAAAGTTATTAAAAATTATCCGAATTAAACAGCTGTGACCAGAATGTTTTTGAACATGGTGATACTAAACCTCTCTTACCGAGAGCTTTATCTTTCCCGCTGCAAGTTTTGCGAGGCCAGGGCAATCCAGGAACACACATTATGAGAGTGTGACAAAGGTGAATTCCAGACGGGAATGCAGCCTCGAACCGGACGCTCTGAGAAAGTGCACTGCTCAGCCATGCCCTCGATGACCAACTGTAGTCCATTGAGCGTGCCGAGGTAGCCGCCAGAGCTCAAGGGCTTGGGGCTGACACCTAGGCGGCGATAATTGCGCAAAACCTTGTCTAAGTCATCGGACCTTTAGGAGCGAAGCGCCTCTTTATCTAACCTTGTCCAGCGTAAGGCGTAACCAGCAGTATCTCCCGAACAGTTTAATAAATGGCGCTGTCATATAGATGCACATACAAGCAGCAATTGAGTGAGGATATTCTAGATGGTGCTGTACCACTACTCTTCGGTTCGCTGTTGCTCAGGCTGTGCCTGAGTACACGGGGAACGGTTGGCTCTCTCTCCTGGATCGTCACCGTACGTGTCGGATCGATGGTGGGGCATGTACAAAGGGTAGCGGTGGGCGCGGAGTGCCGTGGCAGCTCGTGTTCGTCGTCACACACACACACACGTGCGCGGACGGATCGATGTACAGAGAGACAGACGGTCGCACGGACGGCTAGGCAGATGGAAGCGCGGACGGATGTACGAACGGGTGCACGGAAGATTGCGTGGACGGACGAACGCACGAACGGGTGCACTACGGACGCATTGACGGATGGACGGATGGACGCACACTCACCGACGGACGCTTCGCTCCCCTCAACACAATTCACTCCGTGGACATGGTGTGAATTAAAAAAAAAGTTGCTTATATCTCTCCGAACTGAATCCGACAGAAGGAAACATCTTCAATAATAGTGTTTTATCAACAGGAATAATGTGCTCCACAGTGGCTCAATACTGCTTAGAACTTAACGCTCCTACGCTAACTTACGTTAAATGGCATTCGTAAAATTCTTACTAAGTTCACCTTTTGAAGGCAGAGGTCAGCTACAATAAAACTACCTGACGTCACCTCTCACACTTTTTGGATAACTTGAAATGGTCACATAATCCAGTGTCCAACAAAGGCCCGCTACCTTTCAAGAGCGGACACAGTAAACTGTGAAATGTGGTAACCTGAACGCCTAGCTACCCTTCCGGCGCAAAGAAATCTTCGCGCACAACTTCATCAAGTTTGGTTCGTCCGGTCGAGCGTCCTCTGTATACCAGCTACCCGCAACAAATAATTCGCAGCTCAACCGAAACCGTATTTCAAAAGCTAAAATCACCAGATAATAAGAACAACGCTGGGTATATCAAAAGAACGCCCCTTCATGCCATATTTGAAGAGTCTTATCTCACGACATTGCAGTGACCGTATTACTCTGTTCGAACATGGTCAGAAACACTTCCGAGTGGTAGTTGAGGCTCCTGAGAATGCGTGAGCCGAACACTGTGGCGCGTAACGAGACCTGGAATTACCACACTGTCAGCGACAAATTATGCCATATAAATCAATGACCACGCCGTAATCCCGAAGTCCACAGCCATTGGCCGATGCGAGCGTCATGAGCTGCGCAGTTACCGCGACCGTCGAAAGATGCCGCCACGTACCTGCGCTCCTCGCTCTTGGAATGGCATTGAAAGCAAGCCGAAGTTCGAAGGAAAAAAGAAGAAAATGGTCATGGTCATGACGCATGCTGGCGAATGGGCGTACTTATAGCATAGTTTTCATCCCGCCTGCGTAGCTATCACCACGCTCACTGGTGCGAACTAAGAGAGAAAGCGCTTGAAAAGTGTGCTAAATACTCGTAACTACGCTGCTTCTTTATTACTAGTCCTAGCGGTAGTTGATTTGTGAGTCAATCTTATTCAATAAAACCATTGGATGATTACTTTGAAATGTATTGCATGACCCCTTTGAGGAGCAAAAGTGTAACTCATGTAAGAATTGTAGCTGCATACCGATTCGGGGGGCAGGTCTTACTTAGGCCCACCCGAGCATGCGCAAAGCTCCATTGTTTCTTGGGCAACAGGCCGGGCGGTATCATCTTATTGCGTTGCAAGAGTTGCCGTTTCCGCTGTGATACCCGTTTGTACAGGGATTTCACCTACGTTACAGTATACTCGTTCGCGGTACACGTGCCATCAAAGAGTAGGAATTAGCGAAGCAGAACACATTTTATTCGATTCCACGTTTGGCCAACACCACCTTAAGTACTGGCTTGGGCCTCCCCGGACCCGATCCGTTGTCCGGCTGGGATCGGCCAAGCAGTTGAAATTTATTGTCAGGTTCGAACCGGGTCCGGGTCTCAGTTTAAGCATTCGGGTGAGGCTTGAATGAGTGCTGGGCCTGGGCCGAGAATTGAGGACCATGCAGGTCTCTAAACTACACATGTAACACCCTTTTGGTGAGGCCACTGTTACATAGGCCAAACATGCTGATTGCTCAATGAGTGAGCATAGGAATTAAAAGCTGAACCGTTACCTATGACATCGGTACAGGCAGTTATCTCGCGTTGTATCGCCACGAAATGAGAACCGCTTACGTTACAAAATTATTTTTGAAGAGTAACATAAAAATCGAAAGAGAACTGACTGAGGCGAAAAGCGGGAACAACTGTGTATGCTGTCCTCCTATGTAATTGCAAAGAAATAATCAAAATTCTAAATGGGCACGTTAGCACCCTTCTGCACACCAAATGCACATGCGGCCTCCCTGGCTTCTTAATCCATATCATTATGATTGTTGCATGTGTTGGTGTTCGGTTATTTGAAGAACCTATCCCTTCTGGAAGCCCACGCTTGGTGTTTGTGTACGTGCTTTAGGGTTTCATCTTTGCTTTTTTCAGCAGTTATAAACTTGCCGATTCCACAAATCGCCTAGCACAGCAATGTGTTTTGCTCAGAAATATTTTCCATTCTTTTTCTTCCCTGTGCAGGACTATTCACGGTACTGCGCGCAGACCTCCGTGTTTGGCCACGAAGTGCAGCAGCAACTGCTTAGACAGAGATTCTTTGTGGTGAGAAGAGTTCAATATTTGTGATTTCTTCATTTGGGCACGTAATTTGTTACGCATAGTGAGAGCATAGTGAAAATAACCGCTCGTAGACGGCGAGCGCAAAAGACGATCTTTAGAGCAGATGAAGTAGACGTTGCAGAAATGCAATAATGGCTTCTACCATATGCTGAAAGGAAACATTGCCGGAGTTGTTGAATTGAGAGATGTTTGTAAACGGCTCCGCTAACAAAGCCGGGAGAATGGTGGGAAGGGACAGAGACAAGCTGCCATTGCAGCTAGCAAATGATGCCATTAGTGTGTCTAATGTGTGCTTCAGAGAAACGCACTAGTGAATTGTGAATGACTATTTCAAAAAGAACAGGGTTCGTGTGCTCATAAAAGTTGTTTACCATACAAGCGTTCGTGAGCAATATTTCTAACCGACTTTGCGGAGGGATCAGCTCCCGTTGTGTAGTCTTCTGCGTGCATTTTATGTCCAAGTATGGAATGCATGTGCAGTCTGCTTGACACTTGAAAGAAATCTCGTAGCCCGTGGCATTGCGATGCGGCCATGATGCGGCGAGTGCGGCCGTCACGCACGGGCAGAAGCTCGTGCGTGCGCAGGCGTTCGAGGAACGTAGTGCAACGCGAGTGAACCCTACTGAACATACCTTGTCACCCTCGGATACACAGCGCCTACTAAAGCTGATAAACCAGTTCGAAAAATTGTTTTTCGTGCACGTCGAAAGTCGAGCAAACACCACTGACCCGGCACCGAATCATCGCTGAAGAAAATACGAGACCTTTCCGACAAAACCCATACCGTGTGGCTCCGAAAGAACGCGAGGAGATCCGAAGGAAAATTCAGAAGATGCTCCAAGATGACGTAATACAGCCTTCCAAAAGTCCCTGGGCATCCCCCGTGGTATTAGTTAAAAAGAAATACGGCAGCTTGCGCTTCTGTATAGATTACCGCAAGTTAAACCAAGCCACGAAGAAAGACGTCTACCCACTGCCACGCATAGATGACACTATTGATCGGCTGCGGCATTGTCACAGAACGAGCGCTCAAAAAGGGCGCCCCACCAAATTCTCGCGACGAAACGCCGAAGTGACGCCACGAGGTGAACGATAAAAAAAGAAAACAAACATCCAAAGACTCCCCGGGCACGCGACTCTCTCCCTCGGAAGCGCGGGTTCGCCGACGAACCTCCTCTCATCGGCGCCCGAGCAAGCACTGGAACTTTCTAGATGGAAAGGGGCGTGGTGATGCCGGGTTGCGTCATCCGTCGCGGACGGCCTTCGAACCGTCTCGCCCTCTCCCCAGCCTTCGCTGCGTATCGCGCCGACGAAATGATGAGAACTTTTTTGAATCTCGCGTGGAAGGTATTTAATCGAGCAGCCGAGATGAGAGATCAAGAGAAGACGGAAGTTAGCGCCAGAGCGCGTAGGGATTCCGTCGTGTAGTCGGCGAAGGTTTTGTCCGTAGAGACAAAGCAGGAGAAGAAGATGATTTCCACCTGAGGGGTGACGACTCGAGCTACAGGCAAGAGTGTGTGTTTACCGCTATTGAGCGAAGACGCGTGGCAACAGCTGCATGTGTGAAGCCGACGTGTTTCCGGCGAAGAAGTTTGAAGCTTGGAGAGCGGCAAAGTGAAGACGTGAGGTTTCCTGGAAGAGAAACTTCGAAGGCAGCGGAACGACAGAGGTTTCCTGGAAGAGAAACTTCAGGGCAGCGGAACGACAGAGGTTTCCTGAAAGAGAAACTTCGAGGGCAGCGGAACGACAACAACGCTTGACTTTGAGTGAGTGATTCTCGGAAGAGTATCATCCAGACTTTTGTTCCAAGAACTTTGGACTGAATAGGTTTTCTATCTCTTTAGTCTTTAAGTGTCTTGGTTGTTCAATGCATGCGACTACATTGTAGTGTGTATTGTTGTCTGTGTCCGTTGTTTCGAGTGTGGCTGATTGTACTGTGTAGTACGTTGTTTTATTGGTGACATATGGTACTCAACTATTGTGGAGTTAGCATACTGGTGTATTGTTTTTGATCTGCCATTATTGAGAATATCATTTGGTTTTGTTTATCAACTCTCGGCTCTGAGTTGTTCTTTGGGCCACAGCCGGCGTCCGCTGGCGCCCTAAATAGGACCTCTTCTAATTGTCCACGCTTTCGTGGTGCGGTTCGGGGGGCCGATACCTCGGTCCTTGGAATTAGCCCAGCGATCGCCTCCCTAATTAACGGGACCTGTGACAGGCATGCATGCTATTTCTAATCCATGGACCTGCGAAGTGGCTATTGGCAAATAGAGGTCGACGAGAGAGACCGTGAGAAAACTGACTTCGTCACGCCTGAATGTCTTTATGAATCTAAAGTGCTTCCAATCGGGTCATACTCAGCGTCAGCCACTTTTCAGCGTTTAATGGACACTGCGCTATCAAGACTGAAGTGGCAGACATGCTTGGTCTATCTAGACGACGTTATTGTCTTCTCAGCTACATTCTAGGTACACCTAAGTCGATTATTCGCAGTTCTACAAGCTATATGTTCGGCTGGCCTCACTTTAAAACCAGAGAAGTGCCATTTTGGTTTTAGCGAACTTTGCTTCTTAGGCCACGTGGTCAGCCACGAAGGTGTTCGACCTGACCCGGGAAAAATCGATGCTGTCGCAAAGTTTCCCGCACCGCATGACAAAAGAGCAGTGAGACACTTATTAGGCCTCTGCACTTATTACCGACGATTCATCGCCAACTTTTCGTCTATTGCGGCACCTTTGACGCGTCTAACACGAGAGGATGTCCCCTTTCTTTGGGGCGAAAAGGAACAAACTGCATTTGAATTACGCCAACACTTCCAAACACCTCCGGTTGTTTCGCACTTTGATCAGGAAGCACCAACAGAACTTCACACCGACGCAAGCAACTTAGGCCTGGTGCCGTACTGATATAATGGCAAGATAACTCCGAGAAAGTGATAGCCTATGCTAGCAGAGCTCTCTCTCGCACGGAAGAGAACTACTCGACTACCGAAAAAGAGTGCCTCGCCGTGGTCTGGGTGGTTCTCAAATTTCGGCCGTATCTGTACGGCCGCTCATTCAAGGTCGTTCGCCATCACCACTCGCTTTGCTGGCTCACTAACTTGAAAGACCCATCCGGCCGTTTAGCACGCTGGAGCCTTCGGCTTCAAGAGTTTCATATGGCCATAATTTATAAATCAGGGAAGAAGCACACCGACACAATCTGTCTCTCGCGGTCACCCGTCGAGCCTGCCGCTATTAATAACGATTCTATGGACGTCGCATTCTTGGGAGTCGTCAACGCGGCCACTATTTCACAAGAGCAGCGCAGTGACCCTTACCTGCTTCCGCTTATCGACCTCTTAGATGGACGACGTGAAGACGTGCCGCGAGTTTTTGCGAGAGGACTGCCATCTTTTTGTTTAAGGAACAACGTCCTATACAAGAAAAACTTTTCTCCCACCAGCAGCCCATACTTGCTCGTCGTCCCTGCATCACTGCGAAAAGAAATTCTGGAAGCCTGCCATGATGAAATCACCTCCGGTCATCTCGGCTACACTCGGACATTGTCCCGTCTGCAAAACAGTTACTACTGGCCGGACCTACCTGCTGCTGTAAAACTTCACGTCCAAACCTGTGCCGACTGTCAAAGACGCAAAGCAACCCCCGGCAGGCCGGCAGGCTTATTACATTCTGTCCAAGCACCAACAAAACCATTCGCCCAAATCAGAATAGATTTCCTGGGCCCATTCCCAACTTCTACCCCAGGGAACAGATGGATCATTGTCGCCACTGATTACTTGGCTCGCTACGCAGAAACTAAAGCCATGCCGAGGGCCACAGCAGCAGAAGCGGCTCATTTCTTCATAGAAAAAGTCGTCCTTCAGGCCGGTGCTCCAACAGTTCTCATCACGGATAGGGGAACTGCGTTTATGGCAGAACTTTTGAAGTCGGTTCTCAGGTTCAGCGGTACAGCTCACCGGAGAACAATGGCGTACCATCCACAAATGAACGGACTAACAGAGCGGCTTAATAAGACCATCGCAGACATGCTCTGCATGTTTGTCGACACAGAACACAAGAACTGGGATGAAATCTTGCCTTATGTGACCTTCGCCTACAATACCTCCCGGCAGGAAACTACCGGAATGACACCGTTTAGTTTAATACACGGGCGCGAAGTCACTACAACGTGTGACGCAATGCTACCACACGAGTGTGACGACACTCATGCTGACGCCGAAGAATTTGGTCAGCGCGCCCAAGAAGCCCGACAGCTAGCCCGCGTGCGTATTTGTCATCAGCAACACAATGATGTGATACGGTATGACCTACGACATAAATTGGTAACCTACACACCAGGCGACAAGGTATGGGTCTGGATCCCAACACGTCGACACGGACTTTCAGAGAAGCTATTAAGACAATACATCGGCTCATATCGAGTCACCCGACGATATAACGACATCAACTACGAAGTTATTCCCGACGGCGATTGCAGTTCGAGTCCCCGAAACCACTCACCCGAGATCGTGCATGTCATCCGGATGAAACCCTACTTGTCCAGCTAACTCTCGTTTGTCTTGTGGGTGCGGGTGCATATGTGCGTTTTTATAAGTAGAGCGCCTTGGCTGCGCACCAGGACGATGCCATTTTTGGAAGGCGGCAAACGTCACGTGTGACCCGAGAGAAAAACGAAGGTGACAGTGCATACGCGCATCTGCACGCTTTTTATGCAGAACGCAACAACGAGAAAGATGAGGAACTCTCTGGCGCGGTAAATAAGAAGACTGACCCGCTGCTGCTTTCTCAGCGTCTTCAAATACGACCTCTGTCTTCACGTCACGACAATATACAATGAGACGTCGATGATACGATCACGGTTCGTACGCATTTTGGGCGACACGATTTTTTCTTTGTTCCCGGCCGAGGCCAATGGGCCCGCCGTGTCATCCATGGAATGTGGTTGTTGCAGAGTCATTTTCACCCCGTGACGCTTGATAC